TTTTTTTTAAACGTTGCCGTAATTACGATTCGACAGCGCCGGCTGGCTACCGACGTCCACAGGGACGGATCCCGAGGAGGGGGAGGGGAGACACTGAGGGATCGTGCACCGCCCCCCCCCCCTCCCCCGATCAAAAAATAAAGGCGTTCCTAGAGGGAAGCCTGGGGCACTCCTCTAGGAAGGGGGAGGGTTAAGTCAGGAGGATCCAAAGGTGCTCCAAACCTTAGGGGCGGGGAAAGGCTTTTGGAGCATGCCGGCAGGTCGCCCGCATTAGGCGTTGCGCCGAAGGGGGTGAAATAAAAGAGTAAGGACCGTTGTCCGATCTCGGTGTTTCGGTGTCGTTCTTAACGACAGGTCCGGTAGGTAAGGATCCCGGGCCTATCTGACGGTCCGACGGACGACGGCTCCCGGGCTCAACTGACGGTCCGACGGACGGCTCTCGGACCCAGCCGATGGTCCGACGGACGGCTCTCGGGCTCAACCGACGGTCCGACGGACGGCTCTCGGGCCCAGCTGACGGTCCAACGGACGGCTCCCGAGCCTAACTGTCGGTTCGGAGGACGTCAGCTCCGGTTCCCAGCTGATAGTCGAAAGATGACAGGTTTGCAGCGGTAGGACGCTCCTCAACACGCTGACCACCGCCTTATGATTCTCAGGATCCAGTCACTGTAGTAGTTCGCCAACCGAAGAGGTTTGTAACAGCAGGACTTCGCATGTGGCAGTGCCAACGACCCATTAGCAGCTGACAGCTTACGGCATCGTCGGTGTGTGGAAAAACAGTTTGCTCGATCAACCGCTGGCAAGTGCGATGTTGCATCATCCGAATTAGTCCTCGGCGGCTGCACCCACTGCCCGCGGACAAGGCGCCTCCGGCCATCTAGTACCGGAAGTTTGTTGTCGTCTTTGCCTGCTCAGTCGAGCCCAGCCGGCGTTTGTCCGATTCAGCGATGCGCTCGCGGGAAACCTTCAGAGCGAATCATTCTCACACGTCCGAATGATGTGCTTTGTGTTGAAATCGGACTGGAGAGTGATATTTGTTTAGCGTGTCAGCAGCCAAGAGTATTTTTCACTTTTGCAAAACTCTAGGTCACCAACACATGAGCTGTGCACCTTCCTTGCCTGGTTTTCCCGGATATCCCAGGACTATGACAGGTCGAGTGGTGTACATGTCACTGCAACCTCATCAGGAAGGAGGGTTTGTGACGTTTTCTAGCCAAAAATAAGAAAGGGAAAAGGCCCTGTTGCCCTGTAATACATGGATGTTCAGAGCACAATATTTTCATCTTTCATAAAGATAAATCAAGCGACCACGGTGTTAGCCCCAAAAATGTGTTTGTTTTACCGTTCATGCATTTTCTCTTTGAAGTATCAGCATTTTAGTGCCTTCAGCGGGACTGTAGTAAAAATAAGAACGTTGGCTGAACTGAGTAGCGATTTGTGTGCACGAGGTGTTAAGCTGGAGTGCCATCCTTTTCTAGCAAGCCGCTTTCAGAATCTGGGAAACGAGTGAACTGCTGAGGTTTTAATTGTAAATACTGGTAAGTACTGGGCTGAATTGTTATTTTTTGAGATAAAGCAATGTCAGTGCTTGCTGAGGTAAAAGCAGTGAAATCCCTGTGCTGGTCCAAGTTTTAGGTGCCTTCCTGTGATATAGCTGTCGTAAGTGTTAGTGCTCGAATATATTGCAGTATTGAGAAATGTCTTTTGTACCTATTGATGCCAATTTTTTACTGTTGCCATGCTTGAGGGACTTGTGGTAGGCCATTTTAAGATGTGAGAGGTGAATGATACTGATACCCCTATTTATGTGGGTGTTATGCAGTCTTACTCTAGCTTGTATGATAATCAGGATATATTTCCAATACCTTAGTGCTTAGTACCCTCGAAGAAAGTAGAAAGATTGAACTCACAGGTTCCAAAATTGCACTTTCCACTACATAGAAGGGATAGCCTAGTCTGCAAAAAGTTCATCTACAATGCCTGATGGCAAAAGAACATCATTGATGTATATGAATGTCATGTTTAAAGTAAACCAAGGCCAAATTACACATGAAGATCACATTATTTTGTGTGATTTGTATGGAGCATTGTTACTTGGTACTACCTTCATGACATCATAATTCCCTGAGTCATTGTCCCTTTATGCTGAGGGATTGGTGGTGACCTTAGCTGAACTGTGAACATTCCAATCTATAATGTGTATTGTATATATGTTTGAGTTTTTGGCTTCTAAGAAGGACACATTGTTCAGTGTAACATTTTTGTGCATTCCAGGCAGAATGTTAAGTAGGAAGTGTTAAACAAAAATAGAAAGTTTTCTGGAAGTGTTCTGTGCTATTAATACCAGGACATTTCTCATTTTCTTCTGAATAGCATCCTTTGTGGAACTTGGGGATCAAAATACAATGCTAGTAGAAGCAGCATTGCTTTTTATTCACCTTAGATTGTCTCAATGTGTCTGAATGCATATTTTTTAAACATTACCTATAAATAGTAAACATTTTTCCAGGAACTCGTTTCATGTTCCATGTTTAATTATCCAGAAAAGATGCCTAAAATTTCAGAAGCAGTTTTTCCAAATGATGGGATGCATGAAGCTTCAAGACCCATGGTGTGATAATTCTGAGTCTATGGCAAGCTTGTTAATTGGAATGACAGGTTTGTAGACTTCAAACTTCAGAGCTTCAAGACCCATGGTGTGATAATTCTTAGTCTATAGCAATCCTATTAATTGGAATGACAGGTTTGTAGACTTTAGTAGGTGCTGCCCATCATGTTTTAATGGCTGATTAGATGGTTCTGGAAGTCCTCCCAAAAACATTTGTTAGGCTGGTAGCTGCTTATGTTGGCAGCAAGACCATGCTTGTGTCTTTCATTCTAAGCATGGTTTGGCAGGATCATATGGTACAGTTCAGAGGACACTAAGACAGCCAAGATGATCATGTAGAATTTTGAGAGGGCAATTATGTATTTGACATGATTTAAAACTAAAAAGTGTGGCACCAAACCATTTGAAAGAGGGTCTTGTTTTGCAAAGGACGTTAAGTTGCAGGAGTGCCGCAAAAGGCAGGATCAGGTATATCACTCAAGTATTATCATGTTACCAATGGAAGATAAGTTTTCCAAGTAACCTGAGCTACATCAAATAATGCCAGCTTTGATCTGTGTTGGCCAATCATCCATTAAGTGTCTGTACTCCTTTTACGAGCCAGCTTGGTGCACAGCTTCGCGTCGTCCTCGCCAGGTGGCAACAGTCATAGCCAGTGTGGCCGCCAGGGGGCGGGTTAGGGCTGTCTTCCGACGCGACGGCCGCCAGGCGGCGTCCAGCGCTGAAACACAACCATTGGGACACCCATGACCGGCCTCTGGAGTGGGTCCCAGGGTGTTGGGCTGGAGAGGGTGGCAGCTTTTTCGAGGGGGAGGGAAATCTTCCTTCCTTTGTGGCTCAGTGACTGTCGTAGGCGACGGCGGGCCTCGCAGCTTGTACTCGCTTTCCTTCGTCGGTACGTGGTCAAATTACCATGGTGCCTCTCACAGAAACGTAACGAGTTCATCACTTAACGCGCACTAGGGTGCGTGGCCGATTGCCGCCCCCCCCCCCGAGGGTTTTTCCGGAATGGTTTCCGAACGGCGCGGTGTAGCCACGCCAAATTGTGCAAAGCTGTAGACGATTAAATAGCGGATCGTGTGGTATAAAAAATGTAGGTGCACGTTGTAAAGTCCCTGACCCACGGCGGGTCAAAGTCAGGTCATGTATTCAGCGAAGTCAGTTTCCAGGGAATCGTTAGTCTGATGCAACAACGGAGCGTTAGACAAAGCTATACATATGTAAGATACTTTCTTAGGCAACACAACAATTAAATAAACGATGGCAACAATTGTCAGTTATTGTCGTGGTAATAATTACGTCAGATAATCTGGTGTTCACTCTCCCTTGTTCGGGGTGCCGAGGCTACGCTACCGTAAATGAATGTTCTGCCAACCAGGCTGCAGGGAGCAACTGTGTGGCCGGCGGTGCATAGCTTTGTTGGGGCTGACGTTTGGGATTCACTCTTAGAAGCCGCTTCTCGACTACGGAGAGAAACTGCCAGTCTGGCAGTGCCAGAAGCTGCTAGAATTGATACGGCGTAAAGCAACTCATTCGGTTAGGAGTGCAGGGAGTTTGCAAGGTTGGGTGGCAAAGATGCAGGTACATGAAGTTACCTTATTCTCGAAATGACATTTCTTCCCTATAGATGTGGCATTTGCTTATGTTAGACCCACTATGCCGTCTAAGTAAGACGAAGACAGCAAGTGTATTGAAACGTATGCAGGGATCAGCATTCATGTGTCACCTGTGGCATACCGTTTAAGTGTAATGGCGTATTGCTGTCCTGTATCTATATAGGTCAGTTGGCAAGGTAGCGAGGCGTCGTACGCATCCGGAAAGCTCACCTTTAGACCAGAGGGGAGCTATACTCTCAGGGGATTGCAACGGTCCTGGCGATTCCCCTCCACCCTATCCCTGAGAAGTCGTATGGGTATTCAGTGTTAGGGTAGCCCCTTAAGGCATCTTACAGGTACCAGCTGGAGAGAATCAGCACGCAAATAGGATGCATACTGGAACCGTGCGGTACCCTGAACCGCGTGCCTGAACATCAGATGATTTAGAGTCTCGCATAAGCAGAGCTTGCCCAAGGGACATTCACGGGTTGTGGAACAGTTTGGTGCCTCCCGAGGAAGTCAGGTTTCCAGAAAGCCAATGGTCCTGAAAATAGTCATAGACTCAGGGACAGAGCGTCATGTGGACCTGAGACCTTACCGCTTCCCGGCGCTGTCAGGCTCCCTGCGCATTTAAAAAAAAACTTGGCATGTCCGGTTTCTTGCGCGAGCGCTGTCTAACCAAGCGGTATCGGTGATCAAAATTTAAACATAACAATCCAGAGACAAGTGTGGACAAAAATGCACAGAGCGAGGGATGCATGCGACGTTATGGGTGACGCATATGCATCATGTTTCCTCTACTCTAAAGAGGCGGTTTTGAAGGGACTTCAAGGGACTCACCGCGGACACCGGCCCCGCACATGGGCAATCGGTGGAAGCTCTAGGTTCCTGCTGCTATCTTGATAAGCTGTTTTATCATCTGGACAGATATCCGAGCTGATCTTCTTCCAGCTGGGTCAGCAAGCGGTTGGCCATGTATAGGAAGAAGTCGCTTGACATGCTAGGCAATTTTAACGTGGATGGCCTTACCCACGCCGGCTAGCGCACTTTTTAAAGCCGACACCTTCGTAACCACTGCTTTTCAGCAAATAAGTGGAATATTTTGAACCTTGTATCCTTAAGTTGTTGGCTATTCGCGCCAAACTGTTTCGGTCGGAATTATTATTCCAGCAACATTGCAACGTCACCACGCCACCTTTCTCGATCGATAACATGAAAAAAGCAAGCTTTCCAAATCTTGTACCGTCGAATCGGGCGCAAAAGAAAGTCGGCGCTATTCTCGTGTATCTTCTGACGTTGTCCACCTCCCGGTCGATTGCTCGCGCCAGTGCAGCGATCGGCCATCCGATGTCGCGGCGACGTGGGGCGAATATCCGAACTGACGAAACAACTGACAAGCGTGTAAGTAGAAGCATGGGTCGATGTGCGTCCCACGTTTTCGTGCGTAAACGGTGTCTTTCGGCTCTGCAGTGTTCTGAAAGGGAGTATTCCATCTTTTTGTACTTTTGACTGATTGTTACATCATACGTGTACGAGTTGATCAGCAATACCGGTCCCTGTTTACCAGTATGAAAGTAATACATTCCGTTGGCCTTGCCTCTTCCAACAGGTGTGTTCTCTTATGTTTGCAACACGCCAAGTTGTCAAAATATTTGTGTGATAAGTGCTACGAAAGCTTGGTGCACTGTTAAGGGAAAAAAGGTATGCAAACATGAAGCTGTCATCCCGCGACTTCAACAAAATGTTATATTATGATTTTGATTTCTCCCCGATGGCGCTGAATAAAATTGGAGATATACCCGAATTTTCAGCCACATTGACTTTGACATTATTTGCATTCACTCCTCAGTGTATGAGCACCAGTGATTCGCACATACATCGCGTAATATACATCGCCGTCATCGAGTGGGCGCTAATTGGTCCCGATACCGACGCGCCATAAAACACCAAATCACCACCACCGCCACCTATGGCGTTTAGAACAGTGGCTCTTTTGGAGGCGCATTTTGGCTTTGGAGATGGGAGTATCACATGAACCATGCGACGCACTGGTTCAAACTTCAACCAATGCGGTTCTCAGCTCTTGCTCGCTGGGCCAATTACAAGCGCTCTTTTATTCGCACCGGCAGAGTTGCGCACGTTGGTTGTCATGACGATGGTGGTCGCCGAAAAAAGGCGCAGCGCTGTTTCGGGGCGTTGACAGCGTAATTTGGACATGAAAAGATCAAAATTGGGATTCTTATTATGTTTTGACGATGTTGTAGTGGCACTGCCCATTATTACTGTTATTAGACGTAACTAGTCCTGAGGCTTCACTTGGTATGCTTTTGAAATA